TAAAAGACTATCTAAGCTTAATTTAGATAAAAAATAGTAAAGTAATAGCAGTATATTTATTATTAATAATCTGATTAATAATAAAAATATAGTTTTTTAAGTATTATAAATTATTATTAAAATATACAGTCTAAACAGAACTGTAATTATATATCTTTATATATATTTTTTATTATAACAGTAGTAAGCTTTAAGAAAGCTAAATTTTATTAATACTATTAGAATTTTTTTATTAATTTTTATATATAAAAATAGAAAAGATACTAATACTTTTTTTAATTATTTTTTTCTAATTTAAAAAGCTTAATTATATATATTTTGAGGCAATAGTTAAGATAATCAGATTAATAATTATTTAATCTAAATATATTTTAATTATATTAGAGTCTAAAAAGATATAATAGATAGATCTTAATATTAAAAATAGTTAAAATAGTTAATTATTTTTTAACTATATTATAATTAGATATAAAAATTTTTTTAATCTGGCCATAACCTGGCGGTCAGGTATAAAATTTCTAATTAACCTGATCTGACCTGGCTGTTAGCCACTCTAAGAATACCGTTAATATCAGAAACATTAAAAAGCTGAATATTTTATAAAAAAAATTAAAAGAAAATTAATAAAAAATAAGTAAAAAGTAATTAATCTACTATAATAGCTGTTGCAGCAGTCTATCTTTCAAACAGAATAATAAAATAGTTTATATTATTAAATAAAAAAATCTGATTAAACTATTTACTGTAAATATTAAGTTTAAAAAAACCTTTCGGAAATTAATTTTAAAATTTATAGAACTTTTTAAAATTTTAAAAACTATAGAAAAATAAATATTTCGCTTATATCTTTTTAATAAATATATTTAGTTATATAACATCTTCTATATCGCTCTATTAGAATCTTAGAAAATTAAAGAAAACGTTCCCGAAACTTTACTAATATTAGATTTAGATAATAATAAGAAATGGGAGGTAGAGCAGATATTAAATAACTCCTATAATTATAACAGATTGCTAACAGTATATCTATATATTCTTAGTATAACAATTGTAATATTAATAATTCAGATCTTTCTTAGTATTTAACTTCTAGGACCTTACTAGACCTTTGGAATAGTAAGGATTAATCTTGAAATAAATAGACTGCTACTATTCTATACCTAACTGACCTACTTTCCTTTTACAATCTTAATCTAATCTTAACCATACGGTTAGATTAAGGTATAAATAATCTTTAACCGTACGGTTATAGTTAGATTATGGTTAAGATATAACGGTTAGGTTAAGCCACTCTAGTAAGTAGTAAAACCAGATAAAATAAATCTACTTAATTTTTTCTGATTTCTATCTAATTTAATCTAATTTAATTTAATTTTTATTTAAACTAACTGTTTTAAAACTAGCGTAGGTATAACAGTTAACTGAAGTTAATTATTATATCTAATAATTAACCTGATTTTATATCTTAATCTAACTGTTAGATTATGGCCAGATTAAGATTAAGATATAACAGTCAGGTTAATTTATTTTATACTATATTATTTATTAATTTTTTTAAATTATTTATTTTATAATATTCTAAATTTATATATATTTTCTTTAATAAAATTTTAAAAATTATTTGCAGATATAGTTATATATTACAATAATTAATTAAAGAGAATATTTTATAAATATATTATTTATTTAATTATTTATAATTATAAATTAATATTTTTATATTTAATTGATTTAAATAGTCTGCTGCTTCTATATCTTCCATATATACTTTTATATCTAAATTATAATATTTATTATTTAATTAGTTTGATTTATAAAAGATAACTACAGTTTACTGTTTTTATAAATATATATATAATATAATATATATTAGCTAAAAAATAACTACTAATAATTTATAATCTTATATAAATAATATGATTTTATTTTATTAATTATTTATTTATAAATACTGATTTATTTATTATGTATATTCTATATCTATTTATAATATATTTTCAATAAATTTTTATTATTTTAATACTGCAGATAATATAATTATATGTATAGTTTTAATAATAGAATAATCTATTTTGAAAGATAAAAAATTTTAGTTATTAAATATTCTATTTAAATAAGAAATATTACTATATCGAAATTAGTAGTAATCTTATTTTATTTTCAAATTTTGTTTTAAATTTTTTTTAATTTGAATATAGGCAATCCGATAAGCAGGATCTTTTAAATAATGAATAATTTTATTAAATTAAATCTTATATTAATATTATTTATAAATTATTATTAGCAGTCTTGTATACTAAATAAACTATTAATTTTTTATAAATTTATATAAATAAAATAAAACTAAAATTTTAAAATTATAATTCTATTTTTTGAAACAGTCCTAAATATAATTATAAAATAATTAAACTAATATTTAACAGCAGCTGCGGACTGCAGTTAGTTATAATTCTAATAAAAAATTATAAATATTTTATTAATTATTATATTATTAAATTTAATAGAATTTAGTTTTAAATTAAAATATTACAGCTGAACTATCTTTTCTATAAAATGTAAAAATTTGAGAAAATTTAAATAAATAAAATAATATAAGTATATATCTAAAATTAATCCGAATTTATATTATTAATTAACTGCTGTAGTTAATTAGATAGTTATATCCTATCTAAATCCTACTTACTCTGAATAAATCTTTATTCGGATTACCCCTGTGGATTAGATATAAAAATTCTGATTAATTTAATCTGACCTGACCGTTAGCTACTCTAATTAGAAGTAAAATAATCTTATTAAATTATTTAATTTTTAATTCATACAGCTGACTTATATAAAATCCAATAAACAGATTATTTAAAATATTAGATTATTTTTTTAAATTAAATACTATACTAGTACAATTTATAATGAATTATTAAAAAAATTTAATATTCTTAAAAAAACTGGTTTTCTATAATAAATTTTTAAACTAGTATTAAATAAAGCAGATCTGGGATTAAAAATATTTTTTTAAATCTTTTTAAAAAATTTAGTAAAAAATATTTTATAATTAATTACAGCTGAGAGGCATTCTATACAAAAAACTTATTAAATTTAAATAATAATAAAAATTTTAGAATTTTAAAGATTATACTAAAATTTAGACTATAAATAATTAAATATATTTAATATATATAATAAAATTCTTAATATCTAATTTCTTTTCTGGATAATATTATTATATAATTAAAATTAATAATATTAAATCTTTTTCTGCTGTTTAAATAGGTAATTAAATTATAGCAGAAAGTCTGACTCTAATCATATTCAATCTTTAATGGCTTAATCGTTCTTGAATAATATTTGATCTTGTTATATTTCTATATATAGTGTTTTTAGTATTTATGGCTGGTTATATGACAGGCTACCAAAGCGCCTGTTGTAAGAATAAAGAGATCAGTTAGATATAGAATAGTAGCAGTCTATTTATTTTAAGACTAATTCTTACCATTCTAAAGATCTAATAAGATTCTAAAAGTTAAATATTAAGAAAGATCCGAGTTATGAATATTACAACTGTTATACTAAAAATATATAAATATATTATTAATAATCTGTTATAAATATAGAAATTATCTATAATAATTAAACTTTTTTAATATACAGCTGTCTTCAGTAGTATAATAGTAATATAATATTATTATTTTAATAAATAAGCTAATTTATTAAATAGATATAATAATAATAAATAAGATTCAGCCGGAGCTAGTCTTAATTAAATATAATTATTATAATTCAATATTATTCTATTTTTAAAATGTTATTATTTTTTAATAATAATATTAATAATATAAATATATTCCATATATCTTTTTTAATTCTTAATACTATTAGTATTATTTATTTATATTGAAAAACTTATATTTTTCTATTATTTCTGCTTCTATTTATTTATTTTATAATATATATATAATATTTATATTCTATATTTTCTTAGTATAACTAAAATATTAATAGATTACTATATTTTTTTAAATAAATTAGAATATCTATACTGTTGATTTTTTATTCTTTAACTGATCATTTCTTTTTTTATATATTATATAATATCTAAAGTATTTGTATATTTTTGTAAGGATAAAGAGATCAGTTAGATATAGAATAGTAGCAGTCTATTCATTTCAAGACTAATCCTTGCTATTCCAAAGATCTAGCAAGGTCCTAGAAGTTAAATACTAAGAAGGATCTGAGTTATTAATGTCACGACCGTTACACTGAGAATATGTAGATATACTGTTGGCAATCCCGCTATAGATACAGGGGTTATCTATGACAAGTTTAATTAAAAATCTTAACAAAACTATTAATAAAAACTTTACATCCTATTATATTTTTAATATTATATTATTTATAAAGTATTAATAATATACAGTGAGAAAGATTAATTATATTTTAATAAATTCTTTTTTTAGATGTACTTTATTTTTTATTTGTTATATTAATTTAATAAAAAAACTAAATATAATCTAAATAGTAATAGTAATATTAAATAATACTATTAATCTATCTGTAATTTTGAAATAAACTAACTATTTTTAAATAAAAGAAAATAAAAAAATAGAATTTTTATTATATTAAAAAGTCGTCTGTACTGCCGCTACTCTTATTAGTCAGTCTATTTATTTTAAAACTAATTCTTAGTATTCCGAAGGTCTAGTAAGATCCTAAAAGTTAATATTGAAGAAGATCAGAGTTATTAATATTACAACTGTTATGCTGAGAATGCGTAGGTATACTGTTGGCAATCCGCTATAAATACAGGGGTTATCTATAACACCTGTCACATCCCTCATCTGCAACCACGCAACTTTCTGCCACTCGCCGGCTCTGTGCTCTGGCTTCTCCTCTACTTGATCAAAATATTGCGAAGATGGCAATATACTTCTCAGAAATATAGAGCATCCGCCCATGGGACATCAAGCAGACCGAAGACCCATCCATCTATCCAAGTCAACCACATTGGCTACCTAAAACGTAGTATCTCCCCGACCCACAGTTTGGCGACTACACCATACGTTTGTGGAGTTTGAACGACGTGTTGTATGATCGATGCTACACATCAATCACCCGCCGCACCCAACAAACCATCTCAGCCCACTCCGGGGGAGTATCACTCTCAGCCCTCATGCGACTCAAAACACTCGAGATCAACTGTTTGCCTGCTCCTGAGATGAACCATACATGCGAATCCAAGTGTAAAGTCAATCCATAAAACATGAGAAGAATGTGTGCGGTCCATTCTCCTTGCCCGCAAAGATCCAAAAAGGCTTTGCTGACCCAGAGGGGCCAGACGACGCCATGGCGATGTGCGGGCCATGAATCCAAGATCCAAAGGTTGAGATCGCATGCGCGCTGATACTCGTCTCGCAACGACGGTTCAGGGTCACCCCGTTCGATCACGTTTCGAACGTGATGCAATCTTGCTTGGAGCTCACTGTACAGCTGGTTGGTTAGCATAGGATAGAGTGAGCGGTTAAGGCTGGCTAGTTTACCTATGTAGGAGTGATACCTCGGCCCTTTTATTCAATCTAATGAAATGGTTAGTGACAAAATTATGGCAGTGTAAGTGCAGACGAGAAACCAAGGAACCTGCACAATATGTAAGAACCGACCGTTGTTGATGGACCATCTCAGGCCTGATTGGAAGATCACGACGCAACCAATAATCAAAGCTGCAGTGGTTCTGATCTTGATATATATGCGTGTACATGATGGCGCAACCTTCCAGAGCCGAGCGAATGCTCTGCACCGTGTCTAATGTGTATCCCTGCTTCTCCACACTTTGTTGCCCAGCGACACTGTTGCCGCAGACCACCGGGTAAGCAGTTATAAGGAGAAGAATGAGGGCCGAGCCCGCGAATTTGGCCTCCAGGCCATCGTCCAGACCAGCAGCTAGTTCCTCTCGTAACCCTGTCGTCGCCGCGATTTGATAGGTCAAGGAAACGCCAGTCCAGTGTGTTCGCTGCTCCGGATGGACATATGCCAGATGCAGCGCCGCAACAGCTAGCAGGCCGTCCATCACGAATGCCTGCGTGGTGGCAACCCGGGGTATGTCCATCTGCCAGAATTGGAGGTCCAGGTCGTCGTTCGCTAAGGAGGGGGCTGTGACCATTAGCGCATGATGGAATAGATGCATTTCATGCAGTCTCGAATGCGTTCTGGCACTGGAGGCTTGACTTTCGCTGTGAATAGTATCAAGATGGGTATGTGTGTTCTTATGGTTGCCTCCTGCATTGCTGTTGTCTCTGCGGTTGTTGTCAGGGGTACACGGCGACGGCAGGACCGGCCTGTCTCTTAACGGGGCGTCAGAAGCGACTCTCCTCTGTGCGACTATGAGATACGTGCAATCCTGTCCTCGGATCAGGCACCGGGTGCAGGATGGTCGCTTTTCATCACACTATTGCAAGTTCAGGTCAGAATTAGATCGGCAAGAACCGAGCATAGATGAAACCATGACTTTCATGCGCAGTGGAACAAGCAAACGAACAAATAATATAGAGAACAATGGATAAATAAGAAGCAGAGCAATCAGGTTAACATTGATATTAAGGGCTGAGCTAACCTTGACATGACAGCGCTTACATGGTGCACAGCCGTACCGGGATTTTCGATGGGAGCGGCGTGGTTTATTCAAGAGATGCATGAAAACGAATTTTGCGCGAACCGGGGCCGTCAGATACGCTTTACCCTGTGGAGTTTTCCATTCGACACATGAACAGACACGGGGTCAAAAAAGGTGGGTAGGGGACGGACAACTGCGGCTGGCTTTTTCTGTGCGAATACGCTGTGGAGACTGGCGGGTCGGCTGTGACTTGCCGAGAGAGTTCTGCGGTGACGAAGTCTGCACCAATCACCAACCCCTAAGTACGCTATGGAGCCCTACCGTGGAATGCTTCCGCGCCAATCATATCAGTTCGAGTACGTAGTGGGTCGTTTCCAGTCCTGAGAATCCATTCAAATATAGATGCATCAAGCAGTTCTTCCTGCCCCAATACCAATGACAATGAAGAAGAGTTTTCATCTTAGATAGATCCGTGAATTATAAGAGCCAATCCCTACCGGAACTGCGTAGAAGCCGAGTTATGGTACCAAGCGAAGTTTATATAAAGATGGGTATAAAAGCAATGTAGGCCACCTTCTCAAGCCTCAAAATAACAGTTTTCCTATTTTCATGCTTCATGGCCCTTCGTCCGATAGATTTGATCACCCATATGATAAGAAACAGTCACCCCCACGTCGACATTCTTCTGCCACTTCTGAAATGTCTTCGGACACCGTGAATTTATACGGAAACTATGTGCCATCCAAGATAGCAGCTATCGTTCTTGCAGCCATCTTCTTAGTCCTGACTGTGCTGCATCTGTGGAGGATTGTGAGAACAAAACACTGGTTCGGACTCGCTACTGTGGTTGGCGGACTTTGTATGTATACACGCTTTCTCGCTCTGTCCCTCCTAGATGTTGTCCCTGAGGCTAATCAAGTTGCGGTTGCCTCGATCAGTCGAAGTCGTTGGCCTTGTAGCTCGAGCTTACTCCCAACACGATGTCTCTTCCAAGGGCCCATATATCATCCAAGTCCTCTTGATTCTACTGGCCCCAATCATCTTCTCCGCCGCCATCTACATGTTCCTTGGCCGTCTAATCCGGGCTACGGGCCATGAGGAGCTCTCCTTCATCCGCATCAACATCCTGACCAAGCTCTTCGTCCTAGGCGATATCATCTGCTTCTTCATTCAAGCCACTGGCGCTGGCAAGCTTGTCAATGCAGATACCTCCTCCGCGAAGAATTCCGCCCAGACCACAATCCTCGTCGGTCTGGGTCTGCAGGTAGTCTTTTTCCTCATCTTCGCTCTCTGCGCGATCGTCTTCCACGCCCGTGTCTCCAGGCCGGAAAACAAGATGAATGTCAATCCTGCCCTTCGCCTAAACTGGGTGCTATTCTCACTCTATTTTGCCAGCGCCATGATCGTCATCCGGAATATCTACCGTCTGATCGAGTACAAAATGGGGGAGTCGGGCTACTTGCAGATGCATGAATGGCCGGCATACGCGTTCGATGTAGCTCTTATGGCTTGTATGATGCTGGCCAGCCTGTTTTGGTATTCTACTAACACAAAAGGGGCGCGGGTTTCGGGGTCCTATCCTTTGGTTGAGCAGGACGTATGATATCGCTCTGTATGCTTGGTTTTGTCTTCACTGCCGTCCTCTTTTTCTTCCTCTCTTATTCGTCCTGCCTTCCTTTTCTTTTCTTAACCTTTCTCTTCTTTTGGCTTTGATGTTATCATCATGGCTAGCACTCTGATTCTGGCTAGAATTGGCGGACCCAGTACCCACTTACCTTTCTTTTCCCTTCTTCTTTCGTATAATATGTACTCTGCGTGATAATGAAGCCCTGCCCCTGGCTTGACAGCTGATTCCCTTCTCCAGATCGAGTTTCCTCTTCCACTGTGTATCATTGATATAATAGGTGCAAGCAGCAGCTGGCTTAATGCATTTATAGTTGAAAGAGTAAAATTCTAAGCTGTTTAGTGGCAGGTAACAGGTGGTGGGTCCAGAGGCAGTACCTCAATAGATACCGAGCTTGGAAATATATGGGACCTAATCAAAAGGGGTTATCCCATTGAAGGTTGAATGTGATTAGAGTGGGACTTTCCGCTATGATTTAATTAGCTGAAGGGACAGCAGAGGGGGGTTTAATATTATTGATTTTATATATAAAGTAGTATTAAATAGAAAAAAGATTAGATGCTAAGAATTTTACTGTTTATATAAAATATACTTAATTATCTATAGTCTAAATCTTAGTATAATTTATAAAGTTTTAAAGTTTTTATTATGATTTAAGTTTAATAAGTTTTTTTAATAGGGTGCTTCTCAGCCGTACCTAATTCTTAAATCTTTCTTACTAAATTTTTAAGAAAAATTTAGAGAAATTCTTAATCTTAGATCTGCTTTATTTAATACTAGTCTATAATCTATAATAGAAAACTAGTTTTTTAAAAAGATTAAAATCTTTCCAGTTATTATTTATAAATAATACTAATATAGTATTTGGTTTAAAAAGATTATCTAATATTTTAAGCAATCTATCTATCAGATTCTATATAAGTAAGCTGTAGAAATTCAGAATTAGATAATTTAATAGAATTATTTTATTTCTAATGCTGATTATATTAAGCTTTTTTATTAGTTAAGTTAACTAATTTCTAATATTTTTTTTATTTAGATAGATTTTGCTGTTTTTAAAATTATAGATAATATAATTATATTATCTGTATACTAAACAGTATACATAATTATTAAAAAACTATTTATAGATAGATCTAAAACTCCCGCTATAGTTAAATTAATTTATAAAAATATATAATTAATAAAGCTGAGCTGCAGTAGTTATATAAAATTATTAGCTACTAATAATTATTTTTATTATAATTTAAATTTTATTATATTTATATTTAGAAACTGATTAATTTTTTATTTAATCCTACTAAAGAAGCCAATTATATGGTAGATACTGTACTTTATATATAAAAATAAATCTAAAACCAGTAGAAGAATTAAATTATTTAAATAAATAAAATTTAGAATATTAACTTCTAGTTATATATAACTAAATAAATAGTTTATTTAAAAAAGATTTTATATAAGAACTTAATTAAATTGGTTGCCATCTTTCAGTTTAAGTCTAATAATATAATTAAATAAATAATTCTCTGTTTTTAATATACTATAAAAAGACTTATTTAAAAAAGCTAGTATATTATTTAGTATTATAGTTAAACTATTTATATTAAAATAATATAATCTGAAACAGATTAAATCTCTTATTATTTATTCTAGCTATATATAGACTAAAAAAATATTAATTAGTATATATAATTTTAACAGTAGATTTTTACTTTTATTAGCTGTATATAAATATTATATATTTAATATAGTTTCAAATATAGTTTTATTTTTTAATAATAGAAAAAATAGCAGTAGCTATAGCAGCTTACTAATATATATTATGAATTATACTACTATAGTTCTTAATCCAGCTAATAATAATTTTTTTAATAAATAAATTATAGATTTACTTAAACAGACCTGTCTAAAGTTTTATATTAAATTTTTTAATTAAAAATATATTAGATATATAAATATAAAATAGTTTTATCTATACTATAGCTGTGCTTAGCCGGGCTGAATCTAAGTAATATAATAGAAAAAATTATTTTTTAATTCTTTTTTAAATAATTAAAATTAATTATTTTTTAATTCTTTTTTAAATAATTAAAATTAATTGTTTTTTAATTATTTAAAAGATACTGTGGCTTAACCTATCCGTCTGCTGGATTATTATTATATAATAATAAAAAAAGAATTATATTAATTAGTTTTTTAATAGTATTATTAATCTAAATAATTTTAATAAAAATATTTATATTAATAATTCTAGTCTTCTTTTTCTAAGACTTTACTTTTTTTCTTTTATTTTTTTATTTTTTTAAAATAATTTTTAGTTATAAATAAACTTCAGCCGACCAGTCCGCAAGTTTTTTTAGAATTAGATTAGCTAAATAATCTAATAGTTTATAATCTGCAGTTATTATATTTTAATAAAAATCCTATAAAACTAATATATTTATAATATAAAAATCAGCTTTAATAGTATTTAGCTAGACTATATTATTTAGATTAGAAATAACCAGCTGCTGTATAAATATATTAAATTTATTATAAAATAATTTTATAGTTTTATATAAAAACTAACTATTATTATTGTATAGATTTTATAAATTAAATTTTTATTTAAAATATCTTTTGCAGTCTTCTGGATCTAGTTATTTAATAATTCTATTTAATAAAAATACAGTTAGAATTTTCTGTAGAATTTTTATTATTATTAATTAATAAATGGAATTCAGTAGTTAATTAACTAAATATAAATTGAGCCAACTGTACAGCAGTATTTTATATATTAATAGCAGTCGGACCAACTTTAGACTAAATTAGTACAGTAGTATTTTTATATAATTAATCAGTTTAAAAAAAAGCTGATTATATTAATATATATTATTAAAAATTAGTTTAGACGGGCCCCAAAGCTCTTTAATCTGTAATATATAAATATTAAAAATAATTATTAATAAAATATTTTTATGAATAATAAAATAATTATATTAGTTTCTTTCTATTATAAGAGCTTTTATATTAATAATAATATTAAAATTATTTATTCTTATCTGCTATAGAAGATTAAAAAGCTTTTAATCTAATATTTCTAATTAATTATATTATTTATATAATAATTTAAAATATAATTATAATAATACTGTAGTCAGATTTATTCTCCGCCCGCTAATAGTATACTATAAAAATCTAATTTTAATATTTTACAAAAGTAGAGCTTTAATCGGTTCGATAAAATATTTAATTAAAAGATTTAGAATTGTCTGATTATTAATATTAATGTTTAAATATATTAAGATATTATAGTTAGTATCAGCCGGCGGTTTCTATATAATAGTAGTTAGTTTTTTTAGTATATATAAAAAAACCAGCCGATTCTTTTTATTAGATGGAATACTAACGACGAGACCGGACTGGATAAACTAAACTAATAAAATTATATTATTAATCTATAAATAATTTATTTTTCTTATATTATTAAAATAATTTATAGATATAAATATTAGAAACTGACCAGAACTATAGTATACCGGCAGCAGCTGTTCTGCTTCTTTAATATCAACTGGTATTATTTTTTAGGATTGATTTAGAATATTCTCTTTAATTAGCTTATTTTAATAGTTATTTTATAAAAAAAAATAATTTAAAAATAGTAGATAGTACAGTAGTAGCAGCTACAAACTATTAATCTACTAATAGTTTTATAATAAATATTCAGATTTAGATTTTAATTCTATTTATATTAAAAGCCGGTTTTATAGATTATTTAGTACTAGAAGAGTCTTATAATTACTGTACTATTAATTAGAAATAGTAAAAATATATTATTTATATTATTAGTTTTTACTACTTTTAAAAGTCCAATAATAGTAGTAGTATTATATATTATATTATATATTAATCTACAGCAGTACTACTAGCAGCTAAAGATTTTCTATACAGTATAAAAAAACCAACATCTTTTTTATACAGCTTTAAATATATTTATTATATCTGAATCTATATTTTTAAAGAACTTCCAGTTTTTTTTAAATATATACAGACGGTTGGGCGACTCGACTGTATTATAATTAATAAATATTATATAATTTTTAATTTTAATCTTTAGTTTTGGTCTTATTTTTAGCAGCTGGGGCGGTTGAATTAAATTTAAATATAAATAATACTTCTTACTATTATTCTTTTTCTGCAGCTGAAATTAGTTTTTTTTTAATAAATAGATTATATTGTTAATTAAATATATCTATTTCAGTACTGTATCAGCCGAACTAATATTATTTATTAAATTTAGATTTTATTTATATCGAACTATTTTGAATAGATAATTAGTTCTATAATACTAGGATTTTTATATTTTTATATTTAGTATACAGTATTTAGTAAGATTATTATCTATAATTAGGGTTTACATTAATCAGTGATAAGAGGCTGCGCAACGATTGCAGAGGAGATGAGCGTCTTCAACAGGGTAAGCCGAGAACGACGTGTGTGTACAGCGTCAGAACTTTCGCCGTTGGTGGCTTATCAGGGCTGGGTTGATGGTGTCAATTTATGCCCTTGCCGACCGAAGAGATCAAGGATTCCAGAGAAAGTAGAGGTTGGACTACCCCTCTTTTTGCCACTGGAATGACTCGTTCCCTGCACTGAGGCACTTCTTTGTTTCCAATGAAGTCGCTCGACGCGCTGTTCTGACATGGAAGGCGCAAATTCCAATTCCGGAGACGACGCGTCCCAGATTTGGATTGGCCAAGACCTCTGTCCTTGGCTAGGCAGCAATCACGCGTGTCAGCCGCATCACAAGGCAACAATGTGATGCCGGAGGAAAGTTCGTCCGATTGGCCGAAGCCCGCCCACAGACAGCCAAGGAATCCGGAGAAACCTCGGCCCGTCAGCACCGGATAAACCTTCCGCCGAAGGTATTACATTAGGGTTTACATTAGGGTTTACATTAGGGTTTACATTAGGGTTTACATTAGGGTTTACATTAGGGT